ATCTTATTTTCATTTCATGTCTTAAATAAGACGACAGGTTCTCGCAAATTCAACATCTATATATTTTTAGGATAATTTTACAACTATATATATTTTTACATACAAATTTATCATACATTTAAGTACATTTATTTATTTATTTATTACAATATGATAAAATACTATTATTAAAGCTATTTTATAAGACTAATATATGCCGTACCTTGTATTGTACTCTTTCCTTAAATATAATAAAATTTACTTATCATTGATTTTAAAACAAATAAATAAACACGTTTTCCTAATTATATTTTCCTAAATTAAGTTTAAGGACTATCTTCGGATAGGCTCTGAGGGGTGCTTAACACCTTCCCCACGAGTAATCAAAACCCTTACTCAGAATCTCACTGGTTTCGCAAATCAAAACAGAGTTTACATTTACATATTTAAAAAATGGTTTTCCTAATATTTTCCTTAAAATTTAGGTGACGACTCTAAAACAAAAACATTTTTTTCCAAAAAACAGAGTGTCAGCCATATTATGTTGTGAACTGTTTCGGCCGGTTCGAAATGGGGTGCGACAGCGTGGTGACTTCGCTGGGGAATCTTACTTAAATTTTAACCTTAGAAAAACTCAATTTAGGAGTAACATTTGTGATTACGTGTTTATTTTTCAGTTTGCTATTGATATATTGCTTTGACTGAAAGGTCGCAAGTGAAATCCAAGTTTGTGTTCCTTATTTGTTTTAAGACACTACTTGTTACTGCTTTCCCTATATTGTCATTTGCACATTCTATCGAGTCTTGGCCGTACACGCACACATTGTACACGCAAGGGATGCTCCTGCACTCCTCCAAAAATCTCTTTGGATTCCTTAGTTTCAGAGTTGGTGCAATTAAGATAATGTGTCTTCTCGCAATTACTCAGTCCCACTCTCAATCATCTAGGAACATAATCTTACTCTTAGAATAGGTCATGTTGCACAGCCTTAGGCAAGACAGTATACGGTATTGTCGTTGCATTTAGGAAACCACCCAAATGTCAATGAGTTTCTTCTTTAAAACTCAACGACATAAACCTTGTGTGAAATTGATATAAATTATCCATACTTAAACACTTAACAGATTTGGAGCAAATAAACTCATTACACCCTTTACCTCTTTTTAGATGAACCTCAACCAAGACTTACCGGATATCCAAATGGTCGTTTCAGCGCCCCACATTCTACAAAATTGGTGGCAAAATATCTGTGGGATACACGGGGTAGATATTCAAGGGCATTTAGGAGCATTATTGTCGCTTCTGGGGACACAATGCGATAAAATCTTTGTGACTCAGCTAATGGGGTTTTGGGAACTGAGCACCGTAACTTTCAAATTCCTGGATTTTAAGGTCACTCCACACTAGAGGAGATCAGTAGTCTTATCGAACTGCCGATTAGAGGGAGGCTGCCGGTGATCCCCTCAACTATTTGTACAGGTGACTTCCTAAGTCTCTTGGATCTGCACATATTTCGGTCATTGAGGTATGTGGATGGTGGGCACGTCGAGTTGGACTATCTCTTTCAGAGGTTTGGGCATTCGGAAGGTTACTATGAATATCAGCGTGAATTTGAATGCACTCGCGGAGCATGGGAGCATATGAGGCCAAGAGTATTCGTTATGGCTTTTTTAGGAGTTATGGTGTTCCCGATAAAGTCCAATTCTATCGACATCAACATATTGCCGATGGTTATAAGCATCTTCAACGATCCACAAAGATTTACTTTGGTGCCTATGATCCTCGCCGAAATTCTTCGTTCAATGACATCCTGCATTAGGGTCATAATTTCTTCGGAGGATGCAGTATATTGCTATAGATTTGGGCAAGGGAACATTTCTATCGACGTGATCCCCAAATGGATTACTACATAGGTGCTCTTAACAAGATCAAAAGCCACGAAGATCGTCTCCAAAATTGGGTGGGTGCGGCGCCTATAGGAAGGGAAGAATGGCGCACATTTTTGAACAACCTCACGGGAGACGCCATCCAATGGAAGTTCTCTTGGGTAACAGGATTGGCGTTTGCAAGGACTCAGTACTTTTTCTTTATCGAGTTAATCGGGCTCAGAGGCATCCAACCATATGCACCTCTTCGGGTTATGTGGTAGTTCGGAGTTATCCAAGACATTCCGATATGGTCAATAATGGGATCACATGAAGATACATTCACTTCAGTCTCGCTGGAACGGATAAGAAATGTGAAAGCCGAGTGAGAATCCATAATCGATTTAGAAATAAGAGAAGAAAGCTGGTGTACGCCAGAGTATTACGCTTGGCGGAATACCGTAAGTCATATGGCTCGTCCAAGTGCACACGGACATTGGGGGTTTGTAGACAGACAACAAGTTGATTGGATTAGAGAATCGGTGCTTCTTCGCATGGGGTTCACTACACCCATGTACAATCAGATAGTTCCGGGATCCGTCGATTACTTAACCCAGGAAGAAGACCCAGAAGAGGATCCCGAAGAGGACCCAAAAGAAGATCCTGAAGAGGACCCAGAAGAAAATCCTGAAGAAAACCCAAAAGAGGACCCCGAAGAGGTTCCAAAAGAAGAAGTGTGGGAAGATCAGATGGAGGTTTCTGAGATGGGTTCTTACGTCTATGACCCAAGAGATGGAGGGGTTATAGACATCTCATCCGAGCATGGCCCTGAAGAGTCTCCAGAGTATCACCCGGGTCCTTACTATGATGTAGATGATGATGATGAAGCTCCAACCTGGCCATAAGTCATCTTTCTTCTTTGAATTCCCTCATAAGCTCTTTAAAGTGCCATGTGACCTATCCCTCTTGTATGCCTTATGGCCACCCTTGTACTTTCATTTCTTCGGCTTCTGACCGCCTACATCGTTGTAATAGCCAAACCGTAATCAATGAAGTTATGTTTGCTCCAAATCTAAAATGTGTTTAAATGGATCATTTATTATCAAACTAATTGCAACGTAGGCCTACCTCAGGCAAAAAAAGGTTCTATGTTAGGATGCGCTTTGAATGTCGCCGAATTGGCGTATATATGTGTTACATCTACTTATTTGTTACAAGTTTCAATATTTCCCAAACTAACATAGTTTTATTTTTCTTTGTTTTCCTTTCTTTATTTATCCCCAAAAGTACGTTGATTTGTGTCGACTTGCAAACGGGCTGACTCACGATACAACATTCGATCAAAGAGAAAGATGATTGATAAAGACGACTTCAACGCTGCTGCAAACATAATAATACCTATTGAGAACCCTGAAGGTTCTCGAAATATGATGGACAACCAAAATGAAGAGAAAATGGCTCACATGGAGCAAGAACTCGAGATCTTGAGGGAAGAATTACGCCAAGTGCGAGACTTGGCTAAACTATCGGCTACCATTTTCCCTACTTTCAAGACGCCTATCTACTTCGCAAAAGCTGACATGCCAAATCAGCCAGAACAAACTCAACGCGCTCCTACTAACGGTCAAGTACCACCAGCTTCTCCAACCGCAATCAGGACCGTTCCCGACCTTTCCAACCGCGACCCTACCATACCTACAATGCTGCAGATACTTGGGGCACATGTCGCCGCTCCCTATGAGCCACATGTTCCACCCGTATATGTCGCTGGGGCTCCTACCTTCACTATGCCAGCTGTGGTTAATGTCCCATACGAGGTCTATCAATATGAAGAAATGGAGAAAGATGCTCGTTTAAAAGAAGATGCATCGATAAATTCCCAGCTTCAGGGTCTGAGAAAAGTATTGAAAAGCTTAAAAGTCACTAGAGGGACAGAGAGTCTGGATTATGATGATTTGTGCATCCATCCAGACATTGACATGCCAGTAGGGTAAAAACCACCGAAGTTTGACATGTTCGATGGAAAGGGTGACCCTCACGCACATTTAAGGGCATACTGTGACAAGTTAGTCGGTGTAGGGAGAAATGAGAAGTTGAGGATGAAGTTGTTCATTCGGAGTCTGTCTGGAGAAGCATTAACCTGGTGTACCCGCTAAGACCCTCGCAAATGGCGTGACTAGCAGGAAATGGCCGAGGACTTCATGACTCGTTTCAGATTCAATACTAAAATTACTGCTGACAAATTCTCATTGGCCAATATACAGAAGAAGCCATCTGAGAATTTCCAAGAATATGCACGACGTTGGAGAACTGAGGCCGCGAGGGTGCAACCACCACTAGATGAGAGTGAGCTCTCGAAGTACTTTATTCGAGCTCAAGAAGGTATCTACTTTGACAAGATGATGTCAATGATGGGTCAGAAGTTTGCAGAATTGGTCAAGATGGGAGACTTTATAGAGGAGGGTGTTAAATCTGGGAAGATTTAGTCTATGGTCACATTGCAAGCTGCAAGTAGGGCTATACAATCGAGTTCCATTGGCGGCATCAAAAAGAAAAAGGAGGATGTTTCAGCTGTCACTTACCAACCAGGAGGACCATCTCACCGATACCCTAATAATCCCCAAATCGCTGCGCATACTTCATATGTCCCAGTGTATAATACCCAACCACACTATAACCCACCCCGAGCACCAGCATACCAAAACCCTCTAAGACCATATGTCCCTGTCCAAGCACCAATTCACCAAAATAGACCAGCATATGCACCGAGACCACGTCCAAATCCTGAAGCTAGAAATGCTCGCGCTTACACACCAATTGTTGAACCATATGCTCAATTGTTTAAGAGGTTGAGGACAGCGGGAGTACTGCAACTAGTTGAAAAAAAACTTCCTGATCCAATCCCTCGTAATTTTGATGGGAACAAACGATGTGCTTACCACTCGGGAATCCAAGGACACGACACAGAAGATTGTTATGGCTTAAAGAACCAGATCGAGTCTCTGATCAGAAGATGAGTGATCAAATGCACTCCAGCACCTCCCAATGTGAACAACAATCCCTTGCCAAACCATGAGAATCGGGAAGTCAACATGGTTGCTCTGGATGACGAATATGGGACCCCCAACTAACCAAACATAGATGAAGCGGATGCAATGACACCTTCGGCACAACCTGTTATCAATGTTCAACTAAGGGAACCTCTGACTGTCCAAACATATCTCCCAAGAGTTGTAGTGACCACTCTAATTGTTAAGAAGCCTGAGTATGACACCAAAGCAGTCCCTTGGGACTATCGAGCAAGTGCCAAGGGCAAGATGATCGACACTGTCGTGGCTCAAGGGATGACAAGGTCGGAGAGGTGTTATGCCCCAGAGGACCTAAATCAAAGAGTTCTCGGAAACGAACAAAATCCAAAGAAGAATATTACCGATGCTGAAGCCGCAGAGTTTTGGAAGAAGATGCAGTCCAAAGACTATTCGGTTGAAGAACAGTTGAAGAAGACGCCAGCCCACATATACATTTGGTCTTTGCTTATGAGTTATGAAGCTCATAGGTTTGCTTTGATGGAGGTGTTAAGCGGAGTGATAATTCCAAAAGAGACCACAAGTGAGACCTTAGCTGCAACGATTGGAAGAATAGTGGAAGCTAACAAGATTTCTTTCCATGATGATGAGTTGCCCGCAGAAGGGACTGGGCATAACAAAGCGCTTCACATCGCAGTCAAATGTTGTGATAAGATTGTGACTCGAGTTTTAATTGATGGTGGCTCCGGATGCAACATATGTCCTTTCACCACTCTAAGAAATTTAGGTGTTAATATGGGAGAGATAAAGGAAAGTCGTGTGAAAGTTAGAGCCTTTGATGGAGCGCAAAGAAGTGTCATCGGAGAGATACATCTCACATTGCAGGTGGGGCCGGCTGAATTCCCTATTCTATTTCAAGTGATGGATGTATCATCCAACTACAACCTATTGTTGGGAAGACCATGGGTTCACATGGCAAGAGCGGTTCCTTCCACTCTTCATCAATGTGTAAAGTTTGAGTGGGGTCATACAGAAATTACCATCCACGGAGAACTCAGTCACCCCATTCATTCTGTTAATTCTATCCCAGTCGCCGATGAGTTAGACGGAGCAACTCTTCACACTTTGAAAATCATGCAAGCTATAAGGGTCAATGAGGGATTAGAGCACGAAGATACCAAGTTGTCAAGTGCAGCGAAAATGGTTGCATCAGAAATATTGAAGTATGGATATCAGCCTAAGAATGGACTTGGACCTAAGTCCAATGGCTTAGTTGAGCCGATCCAGTTGAAGCATCAGAGAGGCACCAACGGACTAGGATATGAGCCTGCCTCAGGAAGAGACTGTCACGGGTCAAGCGATACAATCTTTGTACCAGAACAATCTTCTATTCTAGATCAAGCTGGCGTTGATGACATCGTGGAAGGATTAGGCAATCTGTTCGTGGCCATGGCTGGAGAAGAGGAAGGGATAAACCTCAACAAGTTGACCATTCGTGATGCAAAACCTGGAGAAATCTTGCAGAATTGGACCACCAGCCCATCCCTGTTTCAACCAGAGTCCTGGTAGTGTGGAAAAGTAGTCTTAATTTTAAAAATTCGTATGATCAAATTGGGGCTTGAATCATGCCCAATCTTTTGTTGTTTGCATCTTCTAAAAGCTAGAATGCTTTGAAATAAAAGTCTTTATTTTATTTTTATTTTTAAAAATCCTCGTTATTTTAATATCTATTTATTTTTACTTACCTTTTGCGCTTTTCAGCACTCATATTAATAAAAATCCTCGTTCAACGGTTATAACATGTAATGAATCCACCGAGCAAGATGAAAATGATGAACAAGATCACGAAGAGTATGATGAAAGCATGATGCCTGAAAATCTACCACACGAGATTAAGCAGGTTGAAAGTCAGAAGAAACCCAATATGGATGAAGCAGAGGTTGTCAACTTAGGAGATGAGGAAATCGTGAAGGAGACATGAGTCAGCATACATTTGGAGGCTGAAAGAAAGCAAGAGTTAATAGAATTGCTTAAGCAATATGTTGACGTATTTGCTTGGTCTTATGATGACATGCCAGGATTAAGCACCGATATTGTCTCGCAAAAATTACCGACTGATCCAACTTGTCTACCTGTTAAGCAAAAGACAAGAAAATTCAAGCCAGATTTGAGCTTAAGGATCAAGGAGGAGGTAACTAAGCAAATTGAGGCGAACATTATAAGGGTCACAAATTACCCCACATGGTTAGCTAATATTGTGCCTGTGCCGAAAAAGGATGGAAAGATCAGAATATGTGTGGACTATCGAGATCTCAACAGGGCCAGTCCTAAGGATGATTTCCCTGTTCCAAACATTCATATACTCATTGATAATTGTGCAAAACATGAGTTAAAATCATTTGTCGATTGTTTTGCGGGATATCACCAAATCCTGATGGATGAAGATGATGCAGAGAAGACGGCGTTTATCACTCCATGGGGAGTGTATTGCTATAGAGTAATGTCATTTGGTCTCAAAAATGCCGGTGCAACCTACATGAAGGCCATGACTACCATTTTTCACGATATGATCCACAAGGAAATTGAAGTGTACGTGGATGATGTCGTTATCAAATCCAAAAGAAGTTCAGACCACCTGGATGACTTACAAAAGTTCTTTGAGATGTTGCGTAAGTATAATTTGAAGTTGAATCCAGCAAAGTGTGCATTTGGAGTACCCGCGGGAAAACTATTAGGATTCATCGTTAGAAGGAAAGGCATAGAGTTGGATCCATCAATGATAAAGGCAATCCAAGAGCTACCTCTACCCAAGACCAGGAAGGACGTGATGAGTTTTTTGGGAAGGTTGAATTACATCAGTCGGTTCATAGCTCAATCCACAGTGATTTGTGAACCCATATTCAAGTTACTGAAGAAAGATGCTGCCACAAAATGGACAGAGGAATGCCAAAGGGCTTTTGATAGAATCAAAGAATACTTGTCCAATCCACCAGTATTAGTCCCACCAGAGCCGAGAAAGCTTTTGTTATTGTATCTATTTGTCATGGATAATGCATTTGGATGTGTATTAGGGCAGCATGATGAGACAGGTAGAAGAGAGCAAGCTATTTACTAATTGAGCAAGAAGTTCACACCATACGAGGCAAGATACACGTTGTTGGAACGAACATGTTGCGCTTTGACTTGGATTGCGCAAAAATTTAGGCATTACCTGTCTGCATACACCACGTACTTGATCTCAAGAATGGATCCACTAAAGTACATCTTTCAGAAGCCCATGCCTACGGGAAAACTAGCGAAATGGCAAATTTTGTTGAGTGAGTTTGATATTGTGTATGTCACACAGAAGGCAATCAAAGGACAAGCTCTGGCTGATCACCTCGCAGAAAACCCGGTGGACCAGGATTACAGGCCACTCATGACCTACTTCCCTGATGAAGAGGTTTTGTTTGTAGGAGAAGACATATCAGAGTCATATGATGGATGGAGAATGTTCTTTGATGGAGCATCAAACTCTATTGGAGTTGGAATAGGAGCAGTCCTAATTTCGGAAACAGGTCAGTATTACCCGATCTCAGCCAAGATCAGGTTCTATTGTACCAACAATATGGCGGAATATGAATCTTGTATTCTTGGACCCAGGATGGCCATCGACATGAACATCAAAGAACTCTTGGTGATAGGAGATTCCGACTTATTGGTTCACTAGGTGCAAGGAGAATAGACCACTAAAAATGTCAAGATCCTGCCTTATCTGCATTGCATTAGAGAGTTGAGCAGGAGATTCACAAGGATTGAGTTCAAGCATGTCCCTCGAGCTCAAAATGAGTTTGTCGATGCTTTGGCAACATTGTCCTCGATGATTCAACACCCAGACAAGAATTACATCGACCCTATCGATATAGAAATACATGATCAACATGCATACTGTTTCCATGTAGATGAGGAACTGGATGGAAAACCCTGGTACTATGACATCAGGAGATTGATAGAAGCACAAGAATATTCGGAAAATTCCACTAGCAACCAGAAGCGGACTTTGAGGAGGATGGCCAATCATTTCTTCCTTAACGGAGAAATCCTGTATATGAGAACTTTAGATTTAGGATTGCTGAGGTGCGTCGACGCCACAGAAGCAACAAGGCTTTTGGAGGAAATACATGCAGGAACATGTGGACCTCACATGAATGGGTTCACTTTGGCAAAGAAGATTTTATGAGCTGGATATTTTTGGATGACCATGGAGAGAGATAGCATCCGGTATGTGCAAAAGTGTCATCAGTGTCAAGTGCATGGAGATTTTATACGGGTTCCACCAAATGAGCTCAATGTGATGGGTTCCCTTTGGCCATTTGCCGCTTGGGGCATGGATGTTATTGGACCCATAGAGCCTCCTGCGTCAAATGGACATCGTTTCATCCTGGTGGCTATCAATTATTTCACGAAATGGGTCGAAGCTTCGACATACAAGACAGTGACTAAGAAGGTAGTGACAAACTTTGTTTGCAATAACATAGTTTGTCGGTTTGGAATTCCGGAATCAATCATAACAGACAATGCAGCCAACCTCAACAGCGATCTGATGAAGGAAACTTGTGAAAGGTTCAAGATTGCTTATCGAAATTCCACAGTTTACCGGCCACAGATGAATGGAGCAGTTGAGGCTGCAAATAAGAATATCAAGAAGATTTTAAGAAAGATAGTAGGCAGTCATAGGCAATAGCATGAGAAGCTACCATATGCTTTGCTCGGTTATCGCACCACAATCAGAACATCAACTGGGGCAACTCCTTATATGTTGGTTTATGGTTCAGAAGCAGTGATACCTGCTGCGGTGGAAATACCATCTTTAAGGATTATCCAAGAGTTTGGTCTAGACGATGCAGAATGGATACGTAGCAGGCATGAACAATTGATGCTCATCGATGAAAAGAGGATGGACGCGGTTTGTTATGACCAACTCTATCAAAATAAAATGACCAAAGCCTTCAACAAAAAAGTCAGACCTCGACAGTTCACACCGGGGCAATTAGTATTGAAGAAGATCTTTCCTCATCAAGGAGAAGCCAAAGGGAAATTTTCACCAAATTGGCAAGGACCCTACATGGTTCATAGAGTACTCTCTGGAGGAGCGGTAATCTTAGAAGAAATGGACGGCAGAGTAAGCCCAAAGCCAATCAATTCAGACGCCATCAAGAAATACTACATCTGAAGACCTCAAGATTAGCGCTTATTTTGTGTGCTTTTGCATTTTTTCAATGTAACAGAACTACGTCTAGACCTGACTTCTCACGGTGGGGTACGTAGGCAACCCACATCGGATCCGGTCTCTCTTAGAAAACCCAAAATCATCATTTCCATGTATTTAGAACTACGCTCGACCTGAATTCCCTCGGTGGGATACGTAGGCAATCCTTGTCGGATTCAGTCCCTTGCATTTTTTTTACTTTTCTATTGTATTTGAACTACGTCCTGAACTGTTCCGCTTGGATATGTAGGCAGCCTAAGTCAGGCCCGGTCATTGCATTTCATATTTTTCACTTTCCTCTTATATTTGAACTACGTTACGACCTGATTCCACTTGGATACGTAGGTAGCTTGAGTCAAGCTCGGTCATTGCATTACATACTTCTACTTCTCCCTTTTGTATTCGAACTACACTACGATCTGATTCCTATCTTGGGGATACGTAGGCAGCCTGAGTCAGGCTCGATCGATGCATTGCATAATTTTTTTTTATTTTTTTTTCTTCTTTACTTACTCTTAGGAAACACTTCCTTATAGTTAGCGTAACCTCAGAATGTTGAAGAATATTGATCGTCGCAGTGTCTGCAAAAGAGCTAGGAAAGCTTCATCAGAAGGGTAAAAGCTACATGAGGACTATGTTGGATATAGTCAACAAAATGGAAAGCTAGATGGACCTCGGAACATGTCATAATCTAAAACGCTGGAGAATTACTATATATATATATACCTAATATATACGCAGTATACTTATTTTCTAGAAAAACAAGCTAATTCTTTTCAAAAAAAAAAATTTCCACTAATCCACCTACCAAGTCTCTAGGTTAAGAAACTATGTGCGGTGCTGACAAGGTGTCGAAGGATTCTAGTGACGAGGCTTCAGTTACAAGTCGATGCAAATCAACACCCCTTCCCAAACTAAAATTTTCTTTGAGTGCAGGAACACAGGAATCAAGAAAATAACATCAAGTTTTGGTGCATGACCAGACAATCCATTCGACTTCTCACAATCATGAGCCAAAATACTCTTTCCCTACTTTATTTCCCCGAAGTACTTCAACTTGCATCTTATGTCTTAGAATATTTCATTTAAATTTTTGCAGGTACGCTCAAGATCCGGATCAGGTGCTTCAGAAAAGAGGATCCTCATAGGAAAATAAGATAATTAGGTTTCTTTCGAAATAACTCCACCAACTGGATCTTGTAATCTAACCTCATCAACAACTCCGCCAATCGGAGACCATCATCTAACAGCGCCAAACTCCACAAGTCTGGGGTTGTATATAGCAAATGTCACTCAAACTCCACCGATCGGAAGCTGTACATAGCAAACATCGTCAAACTCCGACAATTGGAGGTTGTATATAGCAAACATCGTCAAACTCCGCCAATCGGAGGTTATACATAGCAAACATCGTCAAACTCCACCACTCGGAGGTTGTACATAGCAAACATCGATCGAACTCTGCTAATCGGAGACCACATCGTAGTGACGTCACTGAAGCTCCATCGATCGGGGGCAAGCACACATAGAAACGTTGTCATGCACCGACAATTAAATTTACATTACAAACAATACACAGCCGGATACAGGCTTTTACATTACAACAGCCCCGCCAGCCGGAGGCTTTACATTACAAGTTTTACACAGCCAGATACAGGCTTTTACATTATAACAGCCCCGCCAGCCGGAGGCTTTACATTACAAGCTTTACACAGCCGGATACATGCTTTTAC